CGGACGAAATCACAGTCAGAGCACTCGCACAGTCGGTTCAGCCGTAACAGTCGCGTAGAGCAGTCGGACTTGTTGTAACCCTGGTCATTGCAAAACGCCATGCAGTCATCGTTTACGTTACACCTCTGCATAGGTATGCCAACTGTCGCCGACCCCCAGCACCGACATATCAAACAATTATAGCAATTATTAACATTGTATACAATATTATAAAGTAGTTTTTGAATAGCATTTTATCCTTTTCATAGAAAGTCTATAGAAAACAAACAATAATTACCTATAATTAGAAAATTAATTACTAGCGATATCCATATAACGATCACAATTTGAGACAACATTTTTTGTGGCACTGTTTTTGCGAAATCTATTGAGACATAAGGTATTAAACAATTTCACATAAAATATAATTGTTATATTTCTCTGCTTTTGTGATCCTTTTGTGTGTTTTTCACTATTGAATTGTAATGAACACAAGAATTATATTATTATTTTTGTGTCCATTATTTGTGTCACTCGAATAGAAACCATATTTACATTATTTTTCATATATCACACAAATAAAACAATAATCCCTTTCCGCATATCTGAACCATAAAATTATTAATACTTTTACAAATATTTTCTAAAATATTATAAACTTATTGTAAACTAAACAAAATATGTAAAATATAAAAGTCTGGGAAATATGTCACAAACTTATTTAATTGATTGCCAAAAATCAATTGTATACTGTACTATCACATAAATTGTATACAGACAAATATACGAATAATTCAACTTAAAAGTTTATTTTTGAAATATTTATTTCAGATAAATATAAAAAGAATTAATCTTGCTAAATAAATCTTATGCTGATTTTAAAAAATTAATTAAAAGTTTGTCTCAATCTTAAGTTAGTTTTACCGTATGTAGTGTATAGGTTAATATGGGGCTTATATTAAAGATTTGCTAAAAATAAACGTTTAATCAAAATATTCTCATAGTCTATATGTAATAATATATGTATTTAAAATGTTTATTCAAATAAAATACTTTTTTATAAATTAATATTCGTTTGTATATTTATCTCGCAATTGAATGCTTCACTGCTTCTCATATTTTCTAGTATTCAACATTTTTTCACGTGTTTTAAAGAAATATTTTTAAATATAATATTTAATAAGAAAAATAAATTTTACGACAAAAACGGGCGTAAACTTCAAAATATAAATAATCTATTTTTGTTGTTCAAAAAAACTATTGTCATTAAATTGTATAAATAATAAATATAAAGTGTAATGCTCATAATGAGTATAAAATATCCACTATTAATGATTGTTTAAAACGGGTTAAGCTATTGTTTAGATCCAAAAGCTATGTCTATTAAAATGTAAAATTTACCACAAAAGAGGTATCAATTATATGTTTGGAGAATAGGCTCTCTTATAAAGTTTACGCCTAAACTCTATTGAATGTATGAGTTAATTATAAATCAATTTAATTAAATGACAACCACCCACCATAAATAGTGTATTTGTTTATGTGTTTGCTTTAAACGACAATATATTCAATACATTGTTTATTTCAATACAAATTCTATTATATTGTAAATACAGTGCAATTAAAGTCCAATAAACGAAAGGTTAAATCGGTTTAATCTATAATTAATGTCACGTTTTTTATACTGTAGCATTTACGTAGTTTAAAATAATAATACAACATAACATTATAATTATAACATTAAATTAGTACTATTTATAACTCTATTATTGGATGGATTATACTGTTTATCAATTTTCAATTAAGGTTTTACTTATTAGTTAAAATAAACTTTGAAAATAGGATTGATTATTTTATGTAATTATATTCACTTTTTTATATTACATAAAATATTAAATAATATTCTTAAAAGCTATAATTTTTATGTGATTATAGATTAAATAACATTGACATTGATGATTAGTACTTTCATTAACAGTAATTATATAATGTTTTATTCAAATTAGATTCTCGTTTAATTAGTAATTTAATATCATATATTTGTATTTAATATCAAAGGGTAAGTTATTTTTAAACTAACTTTTAATCTCTTTGTTTTATGTCCTCTAAAATGGCAAAATAATTATAATAATTTGTATCACAAATCAATTAATTTAATGTTTCTAAAAAGTTACCCAAAACAGTCAATTAGTATACCTGTATATAAAATAGTATATATAAATATACAATAGTATTGTATATATAATAGTATACCTATTACTTGTAATAACATCAAAATACCTTTCAATGTCAATAAGAATATTATACAGAATATTGATTTAATATATTATCGCTAATTATTCTCGGTTACTAATAAAATAATTATTGATAATTTATTGATGTAAAAATATTTTTAATTAAATACAAAAATAAATAGCTACATTCAATTTGTAGAAATTATTTTGTTTAAACTTTGAAATATAAATATACTAGATAAGATTTTAAACAAAGGGAATCAATTAAAATGTTATCAAAAATAGATTATAATCATAAAATAATCTAATTTCGTATCAAAAACATGTCTAAAATGTGTCGGATATTAGCTATTGTCGACGGGAATCAACATTGAATTCAAGTTCAGTATAATTAATACACAATTTATTGAATCTATTTGAGAGGAAACTCCTAATAAATGAGTTCATCAATAGAAATGTGTTCAAAAAAATAGGAATAACGGAAATGATTGACCCTTTTATTGAGACAATTCTCTATCGCATTCAATAAAAAAAATTTACCAATTAACTTTTTGTTTGCAAAATAGTTGCATCATTTTGTGGGCAAACGTAGTATAAACACATACGAATTAACCTTGAACAACTGGTATTTACTATATTTACTGGGCATTTCGCTATCAAACCCGCTCTAATACTACGTGTGTTTCAAAAGTCATTCAAACTTTTTTTTAGTATTTGTTTTAGACATACGTTTACTGACAACCACTGATCCCGTGTTTCCATGATGTGACTGTTTAGACACAAGTTTTGTATCAAAATGTGTTTTAATTTTAATCATTTTTTATCTCGTATAAAATGTTGGAAATGTAATTTAAGTGCTTACAGTTAATGTGAATATTATATATGACATCATATGAAATGGTAAGAAGTTTGTGACAATCGAAACATCTGTTATAAGTTACTGTATTTAAAGTGATAGACCATATCTGAGGGAACGGGACTACAGTATAATATTGGCTAAATAATAGATAAGCCCAAGATTTTGGTCATTTGTCACTTTAACCCATATTTTACTATTAAAAGCAAATCACAAAACTCTAATGATTTATACATTTTCGTTGAGCAGTTGTGTTGATATATACAGTACTATACAGTGAATGGCCTTTAATTTTGACGAGAAAAAAGTGGCGAAAACTTCTTATAAGGCAAGAGATAAGCGAAGTGTTTATCATTTAAAATGAGACCTCTCTTCAAGTCATATGAGATATCGATATCTCTGTCCTAAACAATGGATAATAACTATACAGCTATTTATCGTTTAGATTTCGTTTGCATTCATTTAGTATTATTAATGATTTTCTTGCGAGTGATTCACTGATTCAGTGATGAATTGTTTGGATTTACTGTTAATATCGATCCCATATATGCTATTATATGGCGATATTGTCCAAGTCGACTCATTTAACTTGACTTTAATACATAACAATGACATTCACTCGCATTTTGCCCCGGTCAATGTCTGGAGCAGTCCCTGCGATGACAAGTCCCTCCAATCGGGTAAATGCTTTGGAGGTGTCGCCAGAATTATGGCTGAGGTTTGTGTCCAGAATTTCGTGAATTCTTATGATTAGGATTCTCTAATATTTCTATTGAATATTCAGGTGAAAAGTATTCGCGAAAAACACAAAAACAATACACTATTCCTGAACGCCGGCGACAACTTTCAAGGGACAGTCTGGTACTCGTTATACAAGTGGCGGATTGTCTCGCATTTCACTAATTTACTCAAATACGATGTCATGACTGTCGGTAATCATGAGTTTGATGACGGCGTCGACGGCTACTCGCCCTTTCTCGACGCCACCAGACTTACCATTCCCACCGTTTGCTGTAATATCGATGTCTCTAATGAACCCAAACTCGTGGGTAAAATTAGGAAGTCTATTGTCGTCGAAGTGGATAATCATAAGATAGGGATCATTGGGTAATAAATAAATAGCTTTAAAATTAAAAACTAATTTCATTTCATTTAAAACAGATATTTAACGCCAGAAACGAGTTTTCTGTCAAATCCTGGAAATACAATCAAATTCTTGGATGAGATTGAGTGCATCAAAGAGGAGGTCCGCCAACTGAAGAGTCAGGGAATTAATATAATCATAGGTTTGGGTCACTCGGGGTTTGTGAAGGACGTGGAGATCGCTCGAAATGTGCCGGATATTGACGTAATAGTCGGCGGCCACTCACATACTCTGCTATATTCCGGTGCAAAGCCATCGGTGGAGGAAGTGATTGACAAATACCCGACAATTATAAACCACGGCTCACACCAGACACTAGTTCTTCAGGCGTTTGCTTTCGGCAAATATTTAGGTTTAATTGACATTGAATTTGATGGCGACGGCTATGTTAGTCGTTTTGAGGGCAAACCTATTCTCTTGGATAATACATTTCCAGAAGGTTTGCGTCAAATGAGTTATAACTTAACATTAGGCACTAATAAAAGTTAATTTTCTATTTTATTTTCCTATTTCAGACACAGAATTGGCGAAAGAGGTGACAGAATATAACGATAGAGTGAAACAAAAGTACGGAGAAGTGATCGGAAAGACGTTTGTCTTACTAGAGGGCGGATACAAATGTGAACTCAAAGAATGCAATTTAGGAAATCTGATTACCGAGGCAACCGTTGTTTACTATATGAACAAAAGGCCCCGAAGTGACACCGGATGGACAGATGTGGCCATTTGTGTCACCAATTCGGGTGGCATTCGCGCCACCATTGATGCCTCCACTCAGGACGGGAACATCACTTTGGAGAACCTCATAACTACCCTCCCGTTCAGCAATAATATGATTATACTTGAGATGTCGGGTGAGTGTAGACAACAAAACTGTTTGACAAGCAATATGTTATTTATTAAAGAATCGCTGATTGAATGTTAGGCCAATTCGTGAGAGAGATGTTGGAGTTCAGTGTCGCCGGACACGACCCACACTTCAAGATCCCGAGCGGAAAGTTTCTCCAAATGTCTGGCCTTCGAGTGGTCTATAATCTAACGAAACCTGATTTCCAAAGAGTGGACAAAGTGGTGGTCCGGTGCGCCAACTGCACTGTTCCCGAGTATTTACCACTCGATGAGACACAGGACTACAAAATACTTGTTCCTAAGTATATAGCCGATGGCGGAGATGGCTATCAAATGCTTAAGAGTAAAGACATTAAAAGGATTAGCAGTGAAGTACTCGACTACGAGATTGTGTCCCAATATATGAGGGAAACGCCGATTATTTATACGGGAGTTGACAACAGAATTGAATTTATTAGTTGAAATTGTTTTTGTTATTTTTTATATTAAAAATAATTTTAAGCATTAATATAAATAACCTTTTATAGTATTAAT